TTCCATCCATGAAGGTTTCGTGGATGTCTGCCAGTGGTTCGTGATGAGCGGGTTTTCAGTTTGGAATCATACCCAACCGTTTCATGGACGCGACCTTTGGAGTGACCTATGTTGTTTTGCCCTTGGAAACCACTTTGGGTTTCTTTCATTTTCGTTTTGACCAGCGTTCCAACCACCTGTTGTGAGATGTCTATTCACCCAAACCCTACACCCGACAGGCGGTGCTCAGTGTCCAGGAGGCCTTCGACTGTTTGCACAGGCCGAAAAGGGATGCATTCCTCTCACGGACTCGCGAGCCTGTGTAGGGTGTGTTCCTGTGTCTGTGTGAATGTGGTGTGTGTGTGTGTTTTTGTTTTTGGTTTGTGTGTGTGTGTTTCTGTTTGTGCTTGTGTGTGTGTCAATGTGTGCTTGAATGTGTTTCTATGTTTTATTGCTGCTTATGAGTGTTTGCGGGTTTGAGTTGTTTTTGCGGAAGTGTTTGATGGCAGGCTTGCTGCTGCTTTACTTGCGTTTTGTTTGCATAAGATGTATGCGTACACTGTGTTTCTGCAGCTTGGTTTCACGTCCTGACTGTGTGTGTGCGTATGTATGTGTGAGTTTCTTTCCCACCTGTTTTATGTTGACGTATGACCGGATGTTTTTTCGTACTTGGCGGCGGCTTCATAAATGGATCAACCCCTCAAAGAGAAACCGCTTCTGATTGATTCGGAGAGGGGTGCCCGGGTAAAACGAAGTAGAGGTGGCATCACAGGGTAATATCCGTACTTTTCCTGGAAGTTGGCCTTTGGTTCTCGGATTTGTTTTTACTATAGGGGGTCCTTAGGGGGTGCTAAGAAGCAAGTGGCTGAAAAAACACCGAAGGGAAGATGGATAGTGCGTGGCAAGGCCAATTCAAGCTGAGGTTCCGTTCGGCGAGTTGATGTTGACAGGTTATATATGTATATACGTGTATTTGTGTGCAGGCAGCCCTTGAACCTTGATGTCAATTGAGTTCATGAGCAAGGGGGAATCTTGTGAAGCCTTCATAGGTCTTAAGGTTAAGGCCTCTAAGGGACATGCCTCGCCATTTTAAGTGAACATGGGATACCAATCACAGGGTTCTACCAGTCATAGGTGTCCTGTTTTAGGTTTGGTTAGAACCTGGTTGAGCTTGGTTGTATGCCCCATTTACCAGCAAAACCCATCGATTTTCCCAAAATGACACCTACTAAGCACATGGTGATACCCACAACCCCCTGGCTTGGCGCTTGCACATCATCTTGCCACTTCAACTTCGAGGTGTTTCGAACAGTCGCGATTTCCTCGTAGCCAATTGTTGGATTCGAGCTCTTTTTTACTTCAAGCTAACTCGTCGCCCCTTCCCTCGCAGGGCTCCAATCTTCTGCCTTTTGGGCTGGTTGCAACTGGGCAGACATCAAAATCCTCATTGGCCATAGCTGGTGGTTCTGGTATTATAACGGTCTCAGGCCTATATATATAAACCTTTACTGAAGGAGTTTCTTTCATAGTTTTGTTTGTTCTTTTGCAGTTGGTTCATTCTCTGCTCATTTGCCCAGATAATCATCCTGATACAACCCGAAGTCAGCTCAGGTTTTGGGTCGCTTATCTGGATTTTCTCAAATTGGTGCCTGACGATCCCCTAGGCTGAGCGACAATGCCTTCAGCGTGAGGCAAGCGACATGGGTTGCATCGCGAGCTGAACTGGGGTTTGTACCCAGCTCATCCTTGTTTATTTGGGATCCCTTTGGTTTCCATGCACTTTGCGAAATATCTTATGTCTTAGATGCTCAGCGAATCTCTTGAGGCTGGTCTTTGATTGCGATTGAGTTCACTCCATTCTTTGGCGCAGCCAAATAGAGACACGCTGAAGCATGCGCCAGTTTCTAAAGCTTGCTTCCCAATCCCACAATCCATGTAGGTACTATATATACATATACACGCCATATCCCAACACTTGACCCACATGGGTAAAATATTCCATACACAGAGAGTTGGGGATGTATTTGGACTTCTGCATTTGTGAGGATCAGTTGGGTCTTGTGGACATGATAAGGCAGAAAGGG